CCGCCTCTTCGACCTGTTTGTTTCCTCTCCACCTATCCTCTCCTCTATCCCTCTTCTATCCGCCTCCCACTCTCTCCCTATTTATTTCAAAACCCCCTTCCCCTCCCCCTTTTCTGATGAAGGGTCTAGGCCCGAAACGTCAGCCTCTCTGCTCCTATGATGCTGCTTGGCCTGCTGTGTTCATCCAGCCCTGCACCTTGTTGACTAGGAATTAATGGGTCCTTTTCAAATTGGCAGGCAGTAACTAGAAGGATACCACAGGGATTGGTGCTGGGATCCCAGCTATTCACAATATATGTTAATGATTTGGATGACAGAACAAAATGTAATGTTTCAAAGTTTGCAGATGATACCAAGTTGGGTGGGAGGGTGAACTATGATGAGGATGCACAGATCCTTCAGCATGATCTGGACAGGTTGGGTAAGTGGGCAAATCAATGGCAGACGCAGTATAATTTGGATAAATGTGAGGTTATTCACTTCGGAAGCAAAAACAAGAAGGTAGATTACTACCCGAGTGGCTGTAAATTGGGAGAGGGGAGTGTATAGCGGGACCTGGGTGTCCTTGTTCACCAGTCACTGAAGGGAAGCATGCAGGTGCAGCAGGCGGTAAGGAAGGCAAATAGTATGTTGGCCTTCATTGTGAGAGGTTTTGAATACAGGAACAGGGATGTGTTGTTGTAGTTATACAGGGCCTTGGTGAGGCCACACCTAGAAATATTGTGTGCATTTTTGAGGAAAGATGCTCTTGCTCTTGAAAGAGTGCAGCGAAGGTTTACCAGGCTGATTCCAGGGACAGCAGGACTGGCATATGCAGAGAGATTGACTAGGTTAGGATTGTTTTAGCTGGAGTTCAGATGAAAGGGGGGTTGGGTCTCATAGAGACTTATAAAATTCTAACTGGACTAGACAGATTAGATGCAGAGAGGATGTTCCAGATGGTACATGTGTCCAGAACGAGGAGTCACAGTCTGAGGATTCTGGGTAGACCATTTAGGACGGAGATGAGGAAACATTTCTTCACCCAAAGAGTGGTGAGCCTGTGGAATTCATTATCACAAGAAGTAGTTGATGCCAAAACATTGAATGTATTCAAGAGGCAGCTAGATATAGCACTTGGGGCACTCAGGAAACCATTTGATTTATAGGACAGCGAGTCTGCCCCTTGTTTCTTGAAATGGAAGCATGGTACTCACATGCTGCCCCACCCAGTTTTTTTCATAAAAATCAGTATTTAATACAGCTAATATCATTATGGTCTATAATATAGTTCTGACTATTTTGACATTCTAAGACCAAACACGAGTTTTACTCAAGTATATTTAAAGCATTCAAAGATAGTAGGAACTGCTAATGCTGGAGAATCTGAGATAACAACGTATAGAGCTGGATGAGCACAGCAGGTCAAGCAGCATCAGAGGAGCAGGAAAGTTGACGTTTCAGGTCTGGACCCTTCTTCACAAAACCGGGTCCAGACCCGAAATGTCAGCTTTCCTGCTCCTCTGATGCTGCTTGACCTGCTGTGTTCATCCAGCTCTACACCTTGTTATCTCATATTTAAAGCATTAACAAGATAAAGTGATGGAGTCTTTATGAGGAGGCAACAGCCTAGTGATATTATTGCTAGACTAAACTCCAGAGACCTAGGTAATGTTCTGGGGACCTGGGTTCGAATCCATAAAAATCTGGAATTAAAAGTGTAATGAAGGCTATCAAACCATTGTTAATTGTCAGGGAAAAACCCATCTGGGGTTCACTAACGTCCTTCAGGGAAGGAGACTGCCATCCTTACCTGATCTAGCTTATATATGATTCCCGACCCACAGCAATGTGGTTGACTCTTAACTGCCCTCCAGGTAGGTAATGCCCTCATCTTGTCAAAAAAGGATATTTTCTGCATTGATTTTATCCAATCTTCCATAAATATTGGAAAATTGCTGAATACAATTACAACACAATGTTTATATGTACAAATATTTCAATAAAGATCGACATAAAATCATCACTAGACATTATTCTTGAAATCATTTTTAATTTATATTGAATTTATCCAATACAACATGCAGGAAGTTTTTAAAAAGTGCTGTAAATCAGGACAAAACAAACATTCAGCTCCAACAGTGTATGACATTAAAGTGCACACATACATAAATCTGATCCTTCAAAGTGTTAAGGTGTATGTATAGTACTTACCACTCTTCAGAGTTCATGTTTTTATCACAGCCCAGTCACTTTCACTGAGACAGAAACATCATCAGGCAGTCATCCCTTCTCAATCTCAGCTATCTGCAGTTGGTTCACTTTTAAGATGGTTTTATGAAGTTTGAAATCCTTTGATTTACTTGTGCTTTGTGTCTCAGATGTTTATTCTGGAGGACAGCATAAGAAAAGGGAAGGGAGGAGATCTAACTCTCTAAAGATAGAAAGTAAATATCACAGATTTGCAGTTTTGTATGTTGCACATGCATCATGAGGCTTAATTTTCCAGTTCCACACACCATCACCAGAGATCACAGTTTCTATTGCGTGACAGGCCATCATGTTTAAAGCACATTCTTTACATTCATTTGATGCACTTGCTAAGGTTGAAACCATATTCAAGGACAAATAAGCATTTTTAAAGTTATAATGAAACAAGTAAAAATCATTGTTATACAAATTTTCACCTTGAATCCCTGGTACTTTACTCATAATCCTACAGTACTATATGTTGCTATAGATGTTGTGCTTATTTGCTAACTTTGAATTTTTTCTTTTGATATATTTAAGAAAAGAGTGGTGTTACTGCCACATTTGGCTCAATTGTATTGCTCTTGCCTGTGAATCTGAAGCTTGTGAATTCAAACCCATTCCAGGACTTGACCATATAATCATTTCAGTGTTGGAATGAAGGACTGCTGCAGTGATGGGGGTGCTGCCTTTTGGATCGGCTGTTAAATAAGAGTTCTTGTCAGATGGATATAAAAGGTCCCAGGCCATGAAGTAGCAGGAAAGATCATCAGGTGTACTAATCATAACCATGAGAAATAGATTCACTGGCCATTCCTCTCTTTACTGGTCGTGGAACCATGAGGGAGCAATTTGACTGCAGTGCTCACCTGCAGGTGAATTACAATTACTAATTCAAAAATAAGCACTAGTGACCAAACCTGGATTGATTTTTCACTGACAACCATCTCTTGCTTCTTTTCCACCCATTCTGAGAAAAAAAAACTAAGCTGAAGCCCAGCATTTAAGATCACTGTAGCATCATACTAGTGGAGCATGTAGGAAACCAACCGAATCTATTTATCATTGGCACCTTTCTGATATCTTGTTTGAACTGCACTGAATTTTTAATCCCATTTTCTAACTCAATGCCAAGAAAGTTAGTTCTAAAGGAAGGTTACAAACCTAAAAGATTAACTCTGCTTCTCTCTCCATTTTTTCTACCAGATCAGATAATTATTTCCAGCATTTGTTTTTATATTAATAAAGTATACAGTAACCATGATGACATCCACTTTCCTCTCACACACACTCCACTCATTACTTATACCTTCCTCATCTCTCACCCTGCTCTTTTTTATTCATTTATAGCATGTGGGAATTATTGGCTAAGCCAGCATTTATTAACAATCCCTGATAGCCCTTGAAAAGGTGGTTCTGAGCTGTCTTCTTGAAACACGGCAGTCTTTTGGGTTTAGAGACACCCAAAATGTTTTCTGGAAGGATGTCCAGGATTTTGACCAGGCACATTGAAGGAATGACAATATATTTCAAAGTCCAGGTGGTGAGTAGCTTAGAGGGAATCTTACAGGTGATGATATTCCCATGCACTTGATGCTCTTGCCTTTCTAGATGATAGACATCACAGATTTGGAAGGTTTTGTTGAAGGAGTCTTGGTGAATTTCTATGGTTATCTTACAAATGGCACATGTTGCTGCACCTCTATGTCGGTGATGGAGGGAGTGAACGTATAAGGTGATGGCTAGGTTATCAATCAAACAAGTTGCTTTTGTTGGGATAGAGTCAAACTTATTGAGTGTTATTGGAGCTGCACCCATCAGGCAGCTGGAGCATATTCCATCGCACTTCTGACTTGTGCGTTGTAGGTGGTGGATGTGCTTTATCAGTCAGAAAGTGAATTACTTGCCACAGATTTTCCAGCCTCTGACCTGCTTTTGTAGCCACAGTATTTATATGGCTGGTCCAGTTCAATTTCTGGTCAACAATAGCACCTAGCTTGTTGGAAGTGAGGTGAAAGTGTTGGTAATGCCATCCAGGGGAATTGGTTAAATTCTCTTTTGTTTGGGATGGTCATTGCCTGGCAATTGTATGGCACGAATGTTACTTGCCACTTATTAAGCCAAGCCTGGGTGTTGTGTAGGTCTTTTGCACATGAACATGAGCTGTTGCTCTGTCTTAGGAGTTAGGAATGGTGCTGAGAAATGTGCAATTATTGGTGAAAATCACGACTTTGAACTTATGATGGAGGGAAATTAATTGATGAAGCAGTCGCAAATGTTTCAGCATTGGACACCACACTGCGAAATTCCTGCAATGGTGTCATAGGCCTGAAATAATTGACCCTCAGCATCTACAACCATCATCCTTTGTGCTGAGACAACAAGGTGCAGGGCTGGATGAACACAGCAGGCCAAGCAGCATCATAGGAGCAGAGAGGCTGACGTTTCGGGCCTAGACCCTTCATCAGAAGTATATTTCCAATTCAATGGAGTGTTTTCCCTTGATTGGAACTGACTTAGTTTTACTAGGGCTCCTTGATGTCATACTCTGTCAAATGCTGTATTGATGTCAAGGACAGTCACTCTCATCTCACCTGACATACTTAACATCATTTTATACTATAAAGGCACAGTATCTTGACCCATCTCTATATCAAGTCTAATTTGATAAAATCTACAAAAGATATGATGCACTAGATTCCATTCATCCAACTTCACTGCCCTTTTTTATAAATTTCTTTAGGGCCTCATATCAGTCTAAGCTTGCAAACTCCACCAGCTGTATATCCCAAAAGGTATTCGTCATGTCTAAACTTGACCACACCCCACCTTCCCACATTCCTCACTTGATAACAATGTTTTCACCTGTCTGGGCCCCACCAATTATAACTCGCTCTGTTAACTTTTCACTTTGCTACATCCTTCACCATCTGAAAATGCTCTTTAAAAAACATCATTGAATTCTGCACAGCCAGCAATGTTCAATTATTTACCCTGAGCCCGTCTCTGATATCTTAAGAAAATAAAGTAAAAACATGTCTTTCCCATCTTTTGCTATTCTCCAAGTGTGTTACAGTTAATTAAATACATCTGATAAATAGGGAGGCACAGCAGCTAGTTAAAGGGGACTTAGCTTGATCGACAATGGTGTAATTAGAGAACAAAAAGCAAATAGCAGCTACAAGTGCACTTAAACTGATCTAAATTTTAAATTTCAGTGCTTTATTTTGAAGAACAATACATTGACATTCTAAACCTGATAAGAAATTGCATCTTGCAAATAAATGTTGACTCAAACTATATTTTTTAAGAAAAAATAAATGGAAAATAATTAAATGTGCGAATGGATGAGTGACTCACTATCAAGTTTAAATGGAAGATTATACTAGTGGAACTGGATTGTGTTCCTAATACTGCCTCCCTCAACCCTTTCAGGACTGACAGGTTTGCCTCACCCTTTCCAGTAGCATAATACAAATTACAAAATACAGATGTCTAAATTCCATACAATCGTAATTCAGGACTTAAATGTTGTGCAATATTAGTAATTTTAAAAAATAACCATGTGATTGTCGTAAAAATCATTGAAAAAATCATCACTGAAATAGTGTTTATGATAATACGCAACAAAATTTGCTCACAAAGATCCAGAGATCGCTGTAGTCTTTTGCCAAGCCAAGAAGATCTCCAAGCATCCATGAAACTGGGTAAGCTGCCAATCATTTTGGAAGTATTCTCACAGACAGTATGCCAGAAATAAAAGTTATAGAATCTCTTCATGTTTAACTTAAAGTTTGAATATTATGAAATAAATGATTGAGGCATATACATAGCATCAAAACAAAAACATTATAAAGAAACTTTAAAAACATTAAAATATTTGGGTTTTCTTACCATAAATACAAATCTAAGCAATCTGGTACTAATATAGTGACATATTTCATCTTCTCCTGAAACAAACTCCAGACTCACTTCTGCATATAGTTTGATCATATGACATCACTGACTTAATCAGGAACAAAAACAGAAGTTGCTGGAAATGCTCAGCAGGTCTGGCAGCATCTGTAAAGAAAAAAATCAGTTACCACTTCGGTTGTGGTGACCCTTCCTCAGAATAACTGACTTAATCAGTACTTGTTTCACTGCAGAAAAATGTTGCCGCATGTGTGAAGTTCATTTTTTTCTTTTTGATATCTTCTTGTCAGTCTTATTACTTCCATTAAAGTGATGTTGATTTAGAAGATGGAATGATGGTCTTTTTACACAGCATTTGAGTCTATTACTGTATCCTGAGCCAACAGATAGTCCGAGGCAAATGTCGGCAAGTAAGTCATTGGAATCCAAAGCAGCTTTGCATCAATACCTGCACTGTACCGGGATCGAGGGTACTTTGCTGTCAGAGCATGTTCCATACACCACACCACCTGGGAAAGATCTTTACTTGACCATTTTTTCACTAATTTCTCCTGTCTGGTGTCTGCTGTGGAAGGCCCAAGACAAATGTCAGAAAGGTAGTTTGTGACAAAATACAAACAAAAAACAACGGCAAATGAAAATGGAAATTGGAAACCTGAAGTAAAATAGGAAATACTGCAAACACACAGGAGGCCCATCAATATCTAAAATGAGAAACAGCATATTAACATTAACTGGAATGGATTTCAATCTCAACAAAACCGGAAGTTAAATAAAATTAATCTGACGTAAAATAAAGCCATGAAGAGAACAGAGTTATGGGGAAAGAAAGGTGAATGCCAAAATGCTGAAAGAACCTTTTACATATAAAAAAAAAGTTGGTGTGAAAGTTAACATAGTTCACTCCGCTAGTTCATTACAAAGCACTTAAGTAATAACAAATGGAAGTAGCTACATAAGGCAACAGAATTAAAGAAATGAAAGCCGCACAGGGGAGGTGATGGCCCAGTGGTATTATTGCTGGACTATTAATCCAGAAACACAGCTAATGCTCTGGAACCTGAGTTTGAATCCCAGCACAATGGACTTGGATTTCAATTTTTAAAAAATCTGGAATTAAGAATCTACTCATAACCATGAAATCATTGTTGAAAAAACCCCTCTGGTTCGCTAATGTCCTTCAGGTAGGAAATCTGCCATCCTCACCTGGTATGGCCTACATGTGACTCCAGACCCATGGCAACAAACTGACTCTTAATTACCCTATGAAAGCCATTCAGTTGTATCAGTCACAACAAAGTCTCAAAGAAATGGAACTGGATGGATCACCTGGCATGGATCTAGGCACCAGAACAGGCAATGGCAGAAACAGCCCTGTCAACTCTGCAACCCTGCAAAGGTGTCCTCAAGAACATCAGAGGGCTAGTGCCAAAATTGGGAGTGTTGTCTCACAGACTAGTAACACAACAACTTGACATCATTATACTCATCGAGTCATACCTCACAGATAATGTCCCAGACACCACCATCATCATCCCTGGATATGTCCTGTCCCACTGGCAAGATAGACCCAGCAACATTGACACTGAACCCCATCAAGTCAAGGACAAGGAAACCATCTGGTGATTTCGACATACCATCCTCCCTCAGCTGATGAATCAGTACTCCTCAATGTTGAACAACACTTAGAAGAAGCACTGAGGATGGCAAGGGCACAAAGTGTACTCTGGGTGAGGGATTTCAATGTCCACCACCAACAGTGGCTCAGCAGCAGTACTACTGATCGAGCTGGTTGGGTCCTAAAGGACATAGCTGCGGCAGGTGGTAAGGGAACCAACAAGAGGGAAAAACATACTTAACCCCACCTTTACCACTTGCCTGGATGGGTGCAGCAGTAACAACACTCAAGAAGCTGGACACCATCCAGGACAAAGCAGCCCCCTTGACTGGCACCACATCGACACTCTCACCCAAAAATTAGTTGGCAAGAAGGGGCTAGTGTCTTGCCAAGGCCAACTCACCCGATTATTTCCCCTTCTCACCACCTCTCTCATCACATCCAGGGAGGGAAAATTCTGCCCTATGAAGTTTTTCAAAGTAAATAGCTAAGCTAAACAATTTAGGATTTATGGCTGTAAAATATGGATGTAGGTTTTTCAAACAAGTGTTGAGTTTGGTGGCAAACACCAAGATATTGAAATTACTCTTGCCAAATATTGGTGTATGCTTTTATTATTAACTAATCTAACTGAAATACTCAATCATTTATTTTAAATGGGCTATCATTAAAATAGAGAAAGTTAAATCCATGCATGGTAACAATCATAACATAATTCCTAGGGCTGAAAGTTGACCAGAAAAGTTAAGGTTATATTTCTTACATTGTATTAAATAATTTTCTCCATATTGCTTTTTCAGATCAGGTGATAGGTGGTCCCAGAGCTCTTGCTTTTCATGACGCTGTAAGCTGCAATCTGTCAGTTTGGTTACAAACATCCCAGGCTCGATACATGAGACTTTTATTCCAAAATGCTTCATATCACGCCTGAGTAAGCAAATTTTGCACATGGATGAAAACAGAAAAACTAGTCAGATCTATTGTAATACTGTTCTAATGTAGAAAATATTTAGTCACTGATACATTTCTGTTGCAATAACATTATTCCCCATCCCGTTCTTTGAAAACAGGCAGATGAGGTGGTGACTGAAGTGTGTTCTTGTTTGAATGTAATTTGACCCTACTTCAAAGACCAGTGAAATACTTGATAATGCCAGATCACACCTGCTGCTCTTGTTGATCCCAAGGTAGCTAAAACCGACATGTTTAGGCCAATGTATCAACTAAGTCAAGACTAGATGCATGGCTGATCATTATGTAATACCCATGGACACAAATCACAGCGTAATTCAAGGGAAACAATAGAGGAAACACTTCAATCTCCCCAATCTATGAATCTGATTTTGATCTGAGCCTAGAAATTAAAATATATGACTTAAAATATCTGGAAAAGGAAATTAGTGCAGGTTTATTATCTAGCTGTGTGATAACTTTTTATGCATGTTATTAAAAAGAGATTAATGATTATTATCTGTAAAATCTAGTTAGTTATTGTCTTACAATGATTCACTAATACCTCAAAATCTTCAAACATTACTGTCACAAATTACAAGAAAATGTTCTCTAAAATTAACCCATAGACAGTCTGTCACAAATAGAAAATATTATTAGCTCACCTACTCACCCACATCTTGCATGGGTCAGCCATATGGATTTTTCCATTACTCGTATCAATTATGAAAGGAGTAAATTTTATAAAGATAACTTGCAACAAGTATGTAAATACTAAGAGAGATAGTAGGAACTGCAGATGCTGGAGAATCTGAGATAACAAGGTGTAGAGCTGGATGAACACATCAGGCCAAGCAGCATCAGAGGAGCAGGAAAGCTGACGTTTCAGGCCTGAACCCTTGTTATCTATGTAAATACTAATATTGATTTGTTCCTTCAGCTACTGTTCAATCTACCATATGTAATAAACATTCAAAATGGGGACCATTTAAACTGGCCGACTGGGGTCAGTTTGAATTAGACTAAATTCAATTTCCTGGGAAAGAAATGGATTCCCTGAGTCTTGTCTATCATCAATAAAGGGAGCAATTTAAAATAGTGTACCATCTGATTACAAATCGCAGGATATTTCATTTGTACACTAAATGCACTATAATTTGATGTCAATTTGCTGTTCTGCAAAAACATGCATGGCATCATTGAAATTGTTGTAGGCTAAGTGATAACAAATTACTTACTGTAATAGAAAAATTCTAACTTTTGATGTTGTTAGACAGAAAGAAATATCCTGTAGTCACATTCTCCAAAATGTTTGAAATATATTTTAGTGATATGAATTGAGAATTAAAATTTGGCCAAACAGCTAGAAGAAATCCCAGATCCTCTTCAAGTAGTGCCATGATTCTCTTCAACTAATGCTTTTAAATATTCCAGAGAGGACTGACAGAGGATTAGTTTGTTGTCTCTTTGGAAACATAAAATCTCCACTGTGTAGCATTCCCTCAATCTTGCAACCTTAAATTATATATTAAAGTTTCTGAAGTAAGGCGTGGAAGCCACAACTTTCGGACTCAGAGGCTAAAGTGCTACCATATAGTGAAACATAAAAACCAACTTCCGCAACATGGATATAAAATTAAAACCTTGCTGTTGGTTTCAGCTGTGTAAAGTGATGTATAATCAGGGTGCTGGAAGTCATATTGCAGAATCAGGAGTAGAGTCAGGCGTAAATCAACTCTGCATGTACACTTTGCAGGTTTCTAATATTTTTTCAAGGACAGGAATACCAACTTACCCCTGGTGTTAAACATGCTTCATTTAAAGTATTATAAGTTCTCAGTACTTCACAGGGAACCTTTCATAGTCATGCTATAGTCAGTGTAAAATCAAACTAGCATGTGGTGGCATCTCACCTTAATTTGCCTTAGTGTGATTCCTAAATTATAAAGCTACTTTTACATCAAAGAATAATTTTTAGTATTGTTGTAAATATGGTAATGTATCTGAAGTTTGGATTATGTGCCCTTAATATTTGTTACTTTCATGCTGCACTGTAGTTTAAATGTGTTATAACAGAGGATACCCTAACCTTAAACTATCGTTGAAAGCTTCCATTCCAAATTTCGATGGGAAGTATCCTCCACCAGTCAACGCTAATCGACCGAGCACACTGCTTACATTCACTATTCTTCCTCTGGCTTTCTTAATCAGAGGTAGCAATTTTAATGTCATCTCAATTGGTCCCAATAAATTAACTTCAATAGGTCTTCTGAAATGTTCAATCTGTAACCAATCTGTGGGACAGAGTATTCCAGCTATTCCAGCATTGTTTACTAATCCCCACAGACCTGCAAGAACAAATTAGGATAATTATACATATACAATAATGTATCAAACACCTTTAACATTTACTCTAGGTATAGCCATCGAAACATTAAGAAAAAGTAATAATTGTAGCTTAGTACCATTTATGAGCATAATCTATACATTATCCATAACTTCTAAAAACTCAATCAAATTATTTAATCAGATCAATATGAAATTAACATTGGCTGATCTGATTATTTATAGGTAGATCCAACAATGTTTATTGGTTCTGTGCTAAATCCACTTGTTCTTTTGTTTTTCTTGGTTTGTGAGATTTGAGGTACTACAAGTCTCAGTATCAGTAAAATAATGAAGAAGAGAAACATCCCCCTCCTGATCACTTTCACTGCTGCAAGTGTATGTTTGCAAAGGTGTGGTTATTATTGGACATGTTAGCTTTTTCTTAAAAATCCTTCGCCCAGAAATTCAGCATTTCCAGAATTATGGCAAATGTCTGATGTCATCAGACATTCACCTGTCAGAAAGATAACTTGATGGGAATATCCCAATTCTTTATCTTTCATGTAGATACAGGATAAAGCTGAAGTTATAATACTCAATTATCTACATGACTGAGTAAATTGCAAGATATTCTCCTCTGGATCATTTTTGAACCATGATCACCTGCATACAGCTCTGATTGGTTGTTATCACAGACACAAGTCAAGAGAATGAAGAAAAACGATGAGAATAACTGTATGAGGACATCACTGATCATGCATGAAACAATTCCTGGCACCCATCAAAATGGTTGAGAGAAGGCTGGAGAGGCTGGGTGAAACCTCGCCAATGGACAAGGTGCAGGGTAAACCCAAAGGTTTTCCTTCTTGGATCCACAGCAATCCTGTTCACTTTGCAAGGACATTAAAAAAAATATATTAAATCACTCAAATGTCTACACCTCTTCCGGCAGTGTTTCTTATTTCTGCCAGATTGACCCTGATAGAAAGCTATTGTGGCTTCTCCTCTCATGCCTCTGGTTGCAACTGCAGTTCATCTCCAAAGACATTACCTCGTATCCACAAAAAAAGAGGATGGAAAGAGATATCTCAGACTGGAAGGACAGGGAAGGATTCCCAGGGCTTGCAAGCATTGGTGTGGGTTTCAGTGACTTCTATGCCGAGTGTCTCAAAATGTGAGAATGAATTTAAATTCGAAATAGAGCACCAAGCTAATGTCTGATTGGATGAGGCAATAAACAAAAACAGGTCAGGCAGCACAGCAAGAACATATAGGTGGGGAGACTGACATTCTGGACTGGTACACCACAGGAAATGCTCTTACTCTGTGATTCATAATGGTGTTTAACCATTAATATTGAGCAGAAAACAGGTGTCAGCAGATTGGTAGCCCTTCCTTCATTACTACAAGATTTTCCTTCCCATTAACTTCATTTGAAAGAGCATTGAACAAGATGTAAGATAAGAAATCAACCTTTTGCTCCCCCTTTCCTGGCCAGAATAAACTATTACAATTGACATCTTTCTCCCTCACTCTCTTGTTTTCCTCCTCTCCATAAAGGCTTCCCATGTGGGCCTCTGGTAAAAATCACTATCTGACCGTGCTGATGTAATCAAACCCCACTGATGTAACTCCACAAAGGCCAGTATCCTGTCACCAAGTCACTCTTTATTTACACATGAACAGTTCTTGACACTGGTACAGTTTCCTTAGAGCCAGCTCTCAGAGTGAACAGGGTATCTGACACTCTTGTTCTTATCTGTCAGCCAGGGCTCCCTGTTTGGACCAGGTTAGAAGCCCCAGTCAGGGAACTCATATTCTATGAGGTTGACCTGGCTGACCCGTTACAATCACTACACCCACCTTGCAAATTTGAAGGACCCTACTGCTTTTGGAGGGTTTCTCTCTCACAAGCTGAGAAAAATGTGTTAAGATTGCAACACTCCATTGTTCACTGACTTGGTTTCTGCCAAGATGGCAGGGTTTAAATAAAGAAGAAGAATCATATCAGTCTCAAAACATTAACTCTGTTACTTTCGCCACAAATGCTGTCAAACTTGCTGAGTTTCTACAGCAAATTCTGCTTTTATTTCAGATTTCCAGCATCTGCAATATTTTTATTTTATTTAAGGGTTTAAGTATGCTTTTGTGTCTTTCTTTGTCACTCCTTTCATATCTCTATTTTGCTTTTTCTCTGTATTTCTTCATTTTTCTCTGTTCGTTACATTCATCTATTTCCCTTTCTGTCTCTTTTTCTTTTTCTTCTTGTTTGCCTTTTTCTGTATTGATTATTTTCTGCTTTTTTTTTTCCTCTTCTGCCTCTCCCTCTCTGCTTTCAGACTCATTTACTCTTCATTTCTGTTTCTCTCTTTTGTCTTATTTACTTTGGGTTCAAGGAAATGTAAAGGTGCTGTGAAAGTGACAGGTTAATGATTACTGAAGTGAGGTGGGTACAGGCCCATCATTAGTCAGGTGTAGGGTATAGTCAGGCCAGTAGACCCAAGAAAGATTTTGGACTGCGTGAAAGGTTTGCCTCACTACTGTGGGACTTCATCCCAGTTATAACGAAAATAATAAGGCACTATAACCCCACCATTCCATGTCCTTACACCCTATTTATCTCCTATGCCATATCTATACTATGTTATACTCCTCCACCTATCTGCAATGACCCTTCAGGCTCTGGTCTGCACCAAACACAATGGTTTCTCATATTCTCCAGGCCAATCTATGTACCCCGCCTACTTCTCATGGCTCTTTATATGCTCTGTGCGAAGCTGTGCCACCTCCAATCCTATTCAGCTTCTACACATTGCATCAAATAAATTAACCCTTTCTTGACAACAGTATGTGTCAAATAAGTTTTTTTACAAATGCCATTTATTTAGAACTTACCACTTCCTTCAAAAAGACACTCTTTTTACTGTAGGCCAATAATAGTGTCAATCTAGAGTCTTTAAAATAACAGTAGGAAAACATGTAATTATGTGACATCACTATCTTGTATCTAGTGTCCCAGCAAAAATAATTGGAAGCCTTTGCTGGAGGTGGCTGTGAACAGATGAATTTCTCACCCAATTCGTTTTCTCATAATTATACATCAATTAATCCTTTTTTATGTAAATTCTAATGTGTTTCATTATTCAGCACTAAATATGTATGAGAAGTAATTGTATATTAGTTCTTCATATTATATTAGTATATAGCTAAAAGAACTCATTGTATTGCACTTACCCTGGTTTCCTACTTCAACTTTGATCAGATCAGTTGCATTCTCAATACTATCAGATTTTGTAATATCCAACAAGATTGTTTTCAACCTGCTTGAAGTCTCATTATTTAAGCCTTGAGCCCCCTCTTCCGTCAGGCAGCCAGCAAGCACTCGAAATCCACCTGCATCAAATACTTTTGCAGCAAGATTTCCAAACCCAGTATCACATCCAGTGATGAACACGTACTTGTCCGAGATGTTTCCTATTTTAAGTTTATCTCGCATCCACCAGCATAGAAACCAGATTAAAAAGAAGCCCAGAGTGAATGCAAACATATCCCTATGAGTATAGGGCAAATGACGAGAACCTGAAAAAAAACAGCCACTTTTAGAATATGAACACCAACCTAAGTACAACAGTGAATTGTACAGAACAAAGAAACAAACATTTATATGATGCTCATTCATAATTTCCTCTTGTGCTGTATTGCACACGAATAATTACAAGATTTTTAAAACTAAAATCCTAATTAAAGAAAACCTTAGGCCAAAATGGAAGATATTATATGGAAAACATTGTGAGATTGACAGGTTAGTAATAATAATGTTGAGAGACAAAGGATCATTGGATACCGGAGCAGGTGCAAGGCATCTGGCCTTTCTAGTCTGACCCATATTTCAATAAGATCGTGGCTGGTCTGGCTATTGCCTCAATTCCACTTTCCTATCTGCATGTACACTAGAACTCCCTTTTCTGTCAAAATTGATTGAACTCTTACTTGAATAATTTCAACTATCCAGCAGCCACTGTGCTATAGGGAAGAGAATTCCAAATATTCACGACCTTCTCAGGGAAAACAACTCCTCACATCTGTCTTAGATGGGAGACTTCATGATAAATTGTATTCTCTAACTGACAAGAGGAAGTATCCTCCTAGTATCAACCTGTCAAAACATCACAGAATATTATGTCAGAAACTTCCAGAAATTTCCGTTTTTGTTTCAGATTTCCAGCATCTGCAATTCTTTCTGTTTTTTTTTACAAAGTATTATATGTTTCAATAAAATTACTTCTCAATCTGCTAAACTCCAAAGGGTATAAACCCAACCTGTTCAACCTTTCTTCATTAGATAAGCCCATTATCCCAGGAATGAATTAACTGAATCTTCACTCAAGAGTTTCTCATGCAATTAATTTGGTTTTTCAATTAAGGAGATCAAAACTGTGCGCAGTATTCCAGACGTGGTCTCCTAAATGCCCTGTTTGGCCAAAGTAAAGCTTCCTGACTTTCATATTTATAATGGTATAATGGCTTTGTCACCAGACTAGTAATCAAAAGACACAAAAACAGAAATTGCTGACAAAACTCACCAAGTCTGACAGCATCTGTGGAGAGAAATAGAGTTAATGTTTTGAATCCAATGACGGTTGTTATAAAATTAGAAATGATAGCAAGGTTAAAGCAAAAAGGATGGTGGGTTCCCTACTACAATATTTCATATATAAATGAAGCAGCCTTTCATAATTAGATTCCAATCTGAAAGTCAACTCCTCAAATGTCTGTTATTCAAACAACAGAAGCTGAGCTTTAGCAGGAACATGGACTATAATAAAGAAAGCATTCTACGCCGACAAGGAAGCATTCATGAGATACAGGTAAAGTCCTCATAGTCTTACCAGACTCTAATCTGCTCTCTCATTCCAAGATGACTGGTGGCATTTTAACCCAAGGGTCACCACACCTCAGGTAAGCAGAGAGGTTAAGAAGGACAGTCCTTCATAGTAACCTCAGCCAATGTGGGAATTGAGCCCATGTTGTTGAAATCATTCTGCATCACAAACCAGTTGTCGAGCCAATTGCCTAACAGATCCCCACATGACTGTAATAGGTGAGTAACTGGAAAATAAACATACTGAGTCTATCAGGTAAGCATCATGCTCAACCTGCCAAAAGATGAATCAACACCAGATCATAAAAGCATTCCAATTAGTTAGATTTATTTTCGTGACTTAGTGGTTTAGAATTTGAATGTAACATTATACACAATATTTAGTGCTGCCCCCATGAACACTGTTGTATTTTCTGAGAAACACAATAGGAGCATTCAAAAGTCATTTAATTATCCAAATATTTTGCAACTTCAGAGTCAGGAGTATGTTGTGTTATACCACTCTCACAATTACACTCCTTTGCTATTCAAATGTACTGAATGCTCAGCTGTGTAATCAATTAATGTAATCCTCTGAAATAAACCTTTCACAAAAAAGAAAGACAGACCTTTGTGCTTAAAGTTTACATGCAATAGATGACATAGTGATGAATAGCTAATGGTACTGGGGAAGACTGAAAATAACTCAGCAGTGGATGGCATCCAAGAGGTAACATTGAAGAGGTAAAAGAAGATGCACAAAGAATTAGGAGAGACAGGATGTATGTGGGTCTGAAAGAGTTATTACTGAGGAGCACCACAAACTATGATGGCATATGGACTTGTGTAGATCTCAGGACGTGGCAAGAGCCAACAGGATTGCATCACGCTGGCTCAGAGCTGCACCACTCCCCAGTTCCACTTTGTCCTCTGGCTCATCTGACGTGCTAACAAGTTCCCCACAGAACTCATCTCTTCCCACCTTGACTCGGTCTTTTCTCCCCTGGTCAAATCCCTGCCCATTGACATTCACGATTGCTCACTTTACGCCAATAGCAGAATTTCCAGTTTGCGGGTTCCAGCTACGTCCTCTTTACCATGGATGTGCAATCCCTTTACACGTCCATCCCCCACCAGGATGGTCTCAGGACTCTCCGTTTCTTCCTGGAACAAAGGCCTGAATCACCTCCATCCACCACCAGTCTCCTCTGCCTGGCCAAGCTCATCCTCACCCTGAACAACTTTTCTTTTAACTTGTCTCATTTTCTTCAGTTCAGAGGGGTGGCCATGAGTACATGTATGGATCCCAGTTATGCCAATCTCTTTGTGCGGTATGTTAAACGTTCCTTGCTCCAGTCCTATTCCGGCCTCACTCACAAAACTTTTTCCAGTACATCAATGATATCATCGGTGCTGCTTCCCTCTCTCATCCGGAATTGGAAAAGTTTATTGATTTCACTTCCAATTTCCACTCCGGTCTCACCTTCAACTGCTATATCTCTGACTTCTCTTTTCCCTTCTTCAACATCTCTCTCTTCATTTCTAAGGAATGAGTGGCCACCAATATCCACTATAAACCCACTGACTACCACAGTTACCTAGAATATACATCCTTCTTCCCGTATAGACTCTATTCCATTCTCCCCATTCCTCTGCCTCCATCACATTTGTTACGATGATGCCAACTTGAAAAAGGGAGCCTCTGAAATCTCCACCTTCTTCCTCAACTGAGGATTCCCCAGCACCAATCTGACAGGGCCTCAGCCATGTCCAACCTATCTCCTGCACTTCACCACTCATCCTCTCTCTTCCCTCCCGCAACAGTGACAGGGTTCCCCTTGTCCTTACCTACCATCCCACCAGCATCCACAATCAGAAGATCATTAGCTGCCATTTCTTCACTGCCAGTGAGATGCCACCACCAGACACATTTCCCCTCCCTTTACTTGTCCGCCTTCTGCATGGACCATTCCCTATGGGACACCCTGGTTCACTCTTCCTTCACCTCCAACCTATCCCTATAGCATCATGGCACCTTCTGCTGCAACCGCAGAAGGTGTAATGCTATCCATTTACTTCCTCCCTCCTCAGAGTCCAAGGGACCAAACACACCTTCCAGACCTTCTAGTTTACTGCATTCGCTGCTCACAAAGTTGTCTCCTCTAGATTGGGGAAATGCAGCATCGACTAGGTGACCGCTTCGCAGAACACTTGTGTTCTGTTTGCAAAAAAGGCCCTAAGCTTTCAGTTGCCCTGCCACTTCAACACACCACCCTGTTCCCTGGCCAACATCTCTGTCTCAGGAACAAAAACAGAAGTTGCTGGAAAAGCTCAGCAGGTCTGGCAGCATCCGTGAAGAAAAAATCAGAGTTAATGATTCAGGTCTAGTGACCTGTCCCCAGAGCTCTTCCAGCAACTTCTGTTTTTGTTCCTGATTTACAGCATCCGTGGTTCTTTCGTTTTTTAACTCTGTCTCATGCTTGCTGCCGTGCTCCAGTGAAGCTAAAAGAACAGCAGCTCATTTTCTGCCTGCAGCCTTCTGGACTCAATATTGAGTCCAATAACTTTCTGGCTTGAGCTCTCCCATGTCCTTACCACAATCCTCACTACCAGGCCTTGTTATCACATAGTCTGCTTTTATACACCACCCATTGTTAGCCACTATAAGTCCCCATTAATAGCTGTTCACCCTCCTAGCCAAATTGTTATCCACTCCTTTATCTGTCCAACTGCTCTTCTCTCTCTTTGGGCTCTATCCTACCTATCATTTACTCCTTACTCCCCTCCCCCCACCCTATCTTCTGCATATAAATGGGCATTTTCCTAGCTACCATCAGTTCGGAGGAAACGTCACTTGACCCAAAACATTAATACTGATTTCTCTCCACCAATGCTGCCAGTCTGGCTGAGCTGTTCCAGCAATTTCTATTTTTGTCTATGTTGTAGTGATATCTGATCACTTGGAACTGGGCCTGAGTCTGTAAGGCTTCAGCAGTGTCTTCTTTCTTACTCTGGCTTATAAATAGTTACATTAATAAAGACTGTTAATGATCACTCACAAGAGAGTAGACAACATTTCTTTACATTGTGGCAGCAGTGACCAGAATTACAGAACTAGAGGCAAGCAGCAACAAGTAACCAAAATGACTGCACAGTGTTACAGGTAAACCATGAGGCCAGTCCAGCAATCTGACCCCAGAAATGGAGGAAATGTCTGAAGGAAGCTCAGTGGCAATGGGGATCAGCAAACAATGTACTTCAAGGCCCATTTAGGTACTGAATTGCGGAATAGCAAAGCCTGTGCAAAAACCTAACAGAAGGTCCGCAAGCAGCAAGCAACAAAAAAGCTAGAAATTAAAAATCAACTGGCCACAGTGAGTAAAACACTGCAGAAAATCAAAAGCACCTAAAGGATGGGTAAGAATCTACCTCTCTGAAAATCGACCAATGCAAAGCAGGCAAAGAAACAGGCACAGTTGACACCATGCAAGAACTGCAACACTGCGAATCCAGCCAGCATGTTTTATGAAGAATCGAAGTCTCAAGAGAGAGAGATAGGTTATTGTAGCACAGAGAACTAAGCACACACCACAGCTTGTGCTATGTTCCACAGTGTTCCAGCAGTCAAGGACACAAAGCAGCAGGGTCATCCTTTCCTAAGGAATGTGTCATAATGTCCACAAGATTTCAATGCTCCTGACTGCATAGAGTCATAGGA